TACTCCTCGCATCGGTTACTCCCTTGATTTCGCCAAAGAACTAAAATTGAAAACTTCTTAAAAGTAAACCAAAAGGATGGGCGAGGCAGAGTGGGGGCTGTGGGACGAGCTAACTCTATTTTCTTTACGGCATTGCCAAAGTAGTTGAGAAAATTCATGAAATTGCCGCTTGGAAATTGGATTTTTATTTTGGTGCTTTGGCGATGGCCAAAAAAAAGTTTTTGTGAGCCAAAAAGTGTTTTGGGATCAACGCGGATAAATACATTTTATTGCTAAGCCACGCCGTGAGAGTGCGAGAGAGAGTGGGATAGAGAGGGGGCCGTCGCTTCCAGCTCATGAATTTCTCATGGAACATTTCAATTTTTGTTGCTGGTCAGGCCAGATGGAATTTTTGTTGGCCAATTAGAGGCCGAATGGCCGAATCGGATGGCAAAAACAGTTAGCAACTAATTAGGCACAAAATCCTTTCACGTTTCAGCGACGGCTCAAAGAAGGCCAAAGGTCAACTCAATCAGCGAGCTGTTTCGCTTGGAGTTCCCTTTCGATTCACGTTCATGTTTTCAATTGCTATTTCCGTTCAGGTTCAGGTTTGGGTTGCTGTGCTGGACCGCAGCTCTGCAGCGCCATTCTCCGCTCTCCGTGGCTCATTAGAAAATTTGCCCATTTTCCCTTGCATTCTGCCAGCGTTTTCGCCATCATTTTCCTCATTAGAATAATGGCAAAACTAAATTGCTAATTTAATGACAAGCTCCTCCGACTCAGACTCAAACTCGAACCCAAACCGGACGAAGCCGACGAAAACTAATTAAACTGAAAACGAACGTAACGTGAGCCATGCCCCGCCCGAAAATGCGACAGGACGGGGGTGCGGCATGTGGCATGTGCCTGACCACGGGTGCGTCGCATGGTCGACGGGCGGCTCAAACGTGCCGCAAAACCCTCTGCCTCTCAATGCACTTCAAAGCAATTAATTTGCAATAAAAGCATTTTTAATGTCTGCCTGTGTGTAGGTGTAGGTGTGTGTTTAGATGGTGTTTAACTGTGTGTGTGTATGTGTGCTTATTGATGACGCAAGCCCCGTACACAGATGCTACCCACCGCAACCAGCCATCAGCCACCAGCCATCAACCACCAACCAAAGCAACGGTCGATGGTTGCTTCGATTTCAAATCGATGATTGCGTATACGCCACATTTGGTTTCCATTCGCATGTAAAGGAGCATGGAGCATAGATGAAACCAATGTGACGTCCGTCAAGATCTTCTGCCTCGGTACAACATCTTTTATCAGACATACCCCCCTCATACATCCGAAGCATGATCCTCGAACCAAGCTACCAGAAATTCTCGTTATTATTTTCACTTCTTTTAAATGCAATGACCCAAACATGATCTTCAACAGCCAGCCATCCTCTCGCTCCTCTTTGCCACTGCTCTTTCACATATTTCATCAGTATGTTTTATCCACTGTTTTCATATCCCCCCGCTTCCCATGCTCCTCCATGCACGCCACCATAATCCTTTCCTTTCCTTTCCTTTGCTTTGCTCCTTTTGCTACTAGGGGTTTACTGGGGTTCAGTGTTCTCTTACACCCCTTTTGGGGGTGGGTTCTGTACTGGTACTCTGCTGCTAAAACTGCTGTCATTGCAACTGTCAGCGCGACTTTGTTGTCCGAGTGAACGTGTCGAGCTTTTGGGCCAGAGCCAGAGCTAGAGCCAGCGTAAGAGCCAGGGGCTGAGATCTGTGGAGCGGTCACGTATATAGCATGTCCCACGTTTAAAGCGGGGGAGCGGGCGCGGTGTGCAGTGCATTGCGGCGTCCGGTCGTGTTGTGGCCGTCCCATGTCTGTCCTGTCCAGTCCTGTCCAGTCCTGTCCAGTCCAGTCCAGCTGTCGCATCCCACATACACATTGTCACGCAATCACGCGTCAACTGTTGGTCACCCCCACGCTAGCCCTCTGCTCACTACCTTCCCCTTGCTCTTGCTCATTCTCTGCCCTTTCTTCTACCATTTTCTTCCCTTTCTTTTGGTCCCTTTACCCTTTGTACAAATCGTACAAATATGTACAAATTCGAAGCCCGTCACGCTCCACTTTTCTATCGTCTCTCCACTTGAAGCTACTTCCTCTCTCTCTCTCTCTCTCTCATCCTCCCTGTCTCTGTGTCTCTCTATGGCTCGCTCTCTTTTTTGTCTCTTTGTGCCTCTTATTTGATCGATTTTTGGGCCTTCACACAAGTGGCCACGCCTATTGGCTATAGGCTAACCCTCCGCTGCTAGTCCCTTCCGCCCTGTTTCCGCTTCTCTCTCTTTCGACAACAGTTGTCATAATAATGTTATGTGATTCCCCTCCCCTCCCCACCATGACCTGACCTTGAATGACGCGTTTTATTTTTTTATTGATTTCTCTCTTTAAGTTAATTAAAAAAAGAAATAACCAAAAATAAAACGAAATAAAGAGAGAGAGAGAGAGAGAGAGGCGAAGAAAAAAAGAAGAAAAAGTGCCGCATGCCAAAATGAGCGACGCAATTGTTATAATCATGTGAACCGCCTCCTGCTTCTGCTCCTTCCAGAACTCCAGTTAAGTGGCATTAAGTGGCGCGGCTCAAGTGCTGGCACTGCAGGCACTTGCAACACTGCAAAATGCAAAGTGACACCAGCCACAGCGCTTTTGCTCAGTGACTGAGGGAGTGAGCGAGTGTGAGAGAATAAAAGGAAGCGCCTCCACAAAGAGTGACAGAGAAGGGGGGCCAGGCCAGACCAGGCACAGTAAAGGCACTCGGTAAATGTATTTGGAGACCCTGCCATTATCGTTACGGAATTCTATTAATTTCCATCAATTGACATGCAGAAACTAGTAATGAAAATTCATGCTTAACTGCTAAGCTACTCCGTGATGGAAAACTCCAATTTAAATTGTAGATCATCGGGGATCATTGGTCTACCCTCTAGCAACCCCCCCTGTCTGCCCAGCCCCTTGCTCACTCATTACCACTCCTCTGGTTAGTTTGTTTTTCGGTTTCCGTTTGAACTGCCACCGCCACAAATTTGAGCGCTTTTTCCTCAAAATCAATTATAAAATGAGGCCGCCACAGAGGTTGGTTACCCCTTTCAACAGCCCTTTCAGCACCACCCAACCCGTCTGGACCGCTGGGCCACTGTTTGTTTAGGCGAGGCGGGGCATGGAAAACCACCGAGCAAATATTGCAAATTTTTTGCCACGAGCCTTGTTTTTGCTTTGGTGTTTTTTGCACTTTACATTTTGTTGTTATTCTTGTTGTATGTTGTGCACGAGAGGTGCCTAAACCTCCAGGTAATCCACACCTCTCCCTCTTCCGCTGGGCCCCCCAGCCCTTGCCGCGCTTCCAACCCCCTTGTGATCAGGTCTGCTGGCGACTAATTTCCATGTCCACACGGACAAGTTTTGTGCAATTTCCGCCCTGGGATTGGTAAAGGGCTAGAAGTTGGCGGTGTGTTGGCGATTGGGGGCTCATGTGTCCGGCAATTATGCCACACCCACACCCACGGGCGCCTCAATTCCCAATTGAGTGTACTTCCGCTAGCTTGCACGCGCTCTCTCTCTCCCTGTATCTCCCTCTCTGCTACCCGCAAACTCTCGCTAAAGTCCTTTGCTTACATTCTGGTTTGTCGCCTGCACAAATCAAATATTTGTTAATAATCTGTGCAACAACAGGATAAGTCGACGAGCATCGCTGTCACTCAGTTGGCACTCTTTGTGTGCACTTCGTTGCAGGGTATGTTTTAGATGAAAGGTAAGGCCAGTCCCAGTCCCAGTCCCAGGCCCAGGCCCAGCGCACTCTCTCTCGGAGTAGCTAAGCAGTAAAGAATATAGATATTCGTATCTATAGATACATCGTGAGTGATCTCTGTCTTTCTCTCTCTCTCTGACACTCCTTCTGGCTTCACTCTCTAGATATGTAGATACCCTCTCGTTGTAGATACCTTGTAACGGCAGCCTATTGGTAGTGTGGAATAAGATGCCTACGGGCTCGCTCTCCGTTCGGAGTTCGCAGAACTGCAGTGGTGGCATCACCCGCTGCCCCAATACCCCTTGCCCGTTGACCCAATTGCCCTTTTCACGACTCGTTGTTGTTTTTTGCTGTTTTTTTTTTGCTCTCTCTGTTTTCTGTTGCTGTTTGTAATGCAATCAACATGAAAATAATTAATACAATTAAAAGTAAACAATCCGCGAGTGCTTGTTCTGTGTCTCTGCCTCTCTCGCTCTCGCTTTGGATCTGGTTCTGTGTGTGCCACGTGGGGCAAGTGCCCGTGCACCCGTGTGCATGTGTGTGTGTGTGTGTGTTTTTTCCAATTTTAATTAAACGGGCAAACGGGGTGCAGTGCATGCCACTGCATACTTTTATGCGCAATTCCCTCAAATCGAATTACCAGCGACATTCTCCCATTGAAGACCAGGACCAGGGACCAGGGACCACACAGTTCATGGCAGGACATGGCACTGCCATCATCATGGGAATTCGATTAAGCCAGGCTGCAAGGTAATTACTGAGTGGGTGGCATGCCATCGGATGTGGCACTTTCCAGCAGAACAGAACAGAACAGAACAGCCGAACAGAACCCAAGAAAGTGTGTCAGACAGACTCGTGGAAGGGAGTTACCGAATGGAGTGCAAGAAAAGTGAATGAAAATGAATATGAATATCCCCACTCTCCACTCCACCCCCGCTTTTCAGCTAATTGGATGGCGAATCATCAAAGTGTGAAAACGAGCAGCAGAGTGGGAGTGGGAGTGGGCGAATTGAAGTGCGGTTTCGATTGGCATGGAAGATGATGAAGCTGCTGGCTGGACGGGGCACGCGACGGCAATTGACGAGGCATGACGTTGCACACAGCATTCCCAGCATGCGCTGCTCATTTGCATACCCCCAGACTTTCTACTTAAGATTTTGGTGGCAGGTACGGTGGGGACGGGGGAGGGGAATATACAGATGTACTTTCTACTTTCTAGTGGGATGGTACTCACCCTTCAACAGATGCTGCAAGATGTTGTCCTTGTGCTCCTCGGAATGCGGCTCCCCGAGCACGATCAGCAGATAGCAGCCGGTCAGGGGGCTGGGCGGACCAACCATGCCACCGGCCAGGCTGGAGGCGACACCGCCGCCGTCCGAGCCGGCCGTATCCAGCGGTGCCCGACCACCGATCTCCGACGGTGGCAGAGAGCTGGCCCCGGCATCGGTGGCCGCATCGTCGCCAACATCGGTGCTGCCACCGGCCTCGTTGTCCGCCTGTCCCTGTCCCTGTGACAACACCACCTGGCTCCTGCGACTCTTGCAACTCCGGCGGTGGATGATCCGGTCCGTTGCCATTACCGTTACCATTACCGTTACCATTTGCCATGGCAATGGCACTGCCAACGGCTTCTTGGGTCGCGGCGGCCTCAGTCGCTGCTGATCCAGCTGCTGTGCCTCCTTCAGCCGCCCCCCCACTGGTGGTTGTTGTTGTTGCCTTTGGCTGATCTCCCATCACAGTTGTTGGTTGTTGCTGGTAGTTGGTTGTTGGTTTTGCTTTTGTCTTTGTCTTTGCTTTGTCACAGAAGGAACAAAATAAAACTTGTTCTTACACTTAGAAAAAAAATACAACGGTTAACCGGATTAACACTATAGTGTGCTCCCTCGCACTCAAGCACTCTCCGCACTGTCACTTCCGGAACTCTCTCTCTGGCTGTTGGTTCTCTGTCTCTTGCTAATATTGCGGTAAACCGTTCGCTGCGAACTGCTGCTGCGACTGCGACTGAGCTGCGAGTGTTGGTGCGTGACGCTGTCTTCTGCTTCTGCTGCTGCTTCTGATGGTTGGTTGTTGTTCTTCTGCTGCCGCTGCCGCTGCTGCTGATTCTCCTCCTTCCTTTTGCTGTTGCTGTTGCTTTTGCTTTTGTTTGTGTTTTCGTTTTGTTGTTGTTGCTGTTGTACTTTTAGTTGTTTGCTGGCCGTGACTTTTGGCGCAGTCTTTTCTTTGCCTTTTTCGCTCCGAGAAAACTAGAGAATTGTTCGCTTAATTGGTTTTCGTTTCTTTTCGTTTGGTTTGGTTTGGTTTTCTGTTTTGTTTAATAACTCTGGAATTGGTTTTGGTTTTTCTTTTCTTTCTTTTGTTGCTATTATTGTGCACACTTCTTGAAGCTGTGGTCTATGCTGGTTTTTCTTTTCTTATTTAATGAAAATCTTTTTGGTTTTTATTAATTTTTTGCTTTGGTTTTTCTTTGGAGTAAGTTTTTTGTTTGTTCGTTTGTTTTTTTGTTTTTGTTTTGCGGCAATTGGCGTGTTCTCTGCAGTATTTATTTTCTTTTATTAGTTAAACATATATATATTATACGTACAATACATATGTATATCGCATATATATGTATGTGTATCGTATATATACATACATATGTATATCGTAGTGTAGATTTTGGACTAGCTTTTTTGTGTGTGTTTTTTACTTGTAGCAATTTTTACTTTACCTTTGGTTTTATTCGTAATAGTTTATCAATAATAATTTTGGTTTTGTGTTTTTGGTTTTTGTGTTTGAAACATGAAAATTCGATTTTTGGTTTTTTCTCGCTTTGTGGTGTTCGTTTTTTTTTGTTTTTCTCTCGCTTTTTTGTCTTTTTGTCTGAAATGAATCAAGGAGCGAGCGATCCGAGCCAATGATCTCTTCTCTGCTCTTCTCTCGGCTATGCTATAGCTTTTTGGCTATAGTTATTCCTCGATTGGACTGACTTTTCGCTTTTAGCTCTCTCCGCGTTTGCACGGCGACACTCTTTCCATCTATCGTCGGATCTGCAAAGGAAGAATACATATATCCGTTATATATCGTAAGGATATAGCGATTGTCGCTCTGCCTGCTTAATATTCTTCACTAGGCTATTTTCTGCCAAAAGAGGAGTAGTGGAGCCTACGGAAACTCTCCTCGAAAATATGTTCTGGGGGCCCTCTTTTGCTTATTCGAATAAAATATTCTGCAGAATCTGTTCCTGGAATTGGGGTCCAAGGGAAATACTTCTATTTTCATTGCCTTTTTCCCACTGCTTTTACCGTCTGACGGTTTGCCCTTCCCTGGCGTATTGCCCATCGAAATATGACTGTCATCTCCATGCTCCCATGCTCTCTCTCTCTCTCCATCTGTGCCCCGAACATTCGGTTTCCCAGCGGAGCTAGCTGCCACACAGACCAGACACAGACACAGACACAGACAATGCCACAGTCACAGCCATAACCGAAGACCAGGAGCCGGGCGAGCAAGGGCCGCCGGAGGAGTGGCTATAAAAAGACGAGCCACAGACAGGAGGCGGCCCTCGGCTCTGCAAATATAAAATGCATTGAACTTTGGCCGTCTTGCAGATATAGACCAGCGCACATATGCATGCATCATCAAGGGGCACGGGACATGGGGGCAAACATCAGCGATTCCCTGGGTGGACAGACACACGCCCCAAAAAGATGTCGTCATCGGTTGGACGCGCTCCATGGCAACGACAACGACAGCGACAACCACGACGTGGCAGGCGACGTCGACGTCATCAGCCCTGCCACACCACAATCCCATCCGCCCTTCCGCCCTTCCGCCCATTCCGCCCTTATTGCCGGGTGCATGCGAAAACTATAAAAAGCAACGATGGCAGGGATAGGGGAAGGGGAGGAGAAGGCGGCGGAGGTGGCTGGCTAGCTGGCTGGCTGGCTGGCTGGCTGAAGAACTCCTTTTGATATTTCTGTAGCCCTTGCTGTTGTTGCAATCCTTCAACTTCTGTGTGTCTCCCCTACCCCTACCACTATACCACTCTACCCGGCCTGCAGTCGGTCGCGTGCCCCCAGGCCGTGGTGTGGGGCCCCACGTCTCGCTCCAGTGCTGCCGCCGCTACTCCGGATGATTCACCAGAAAACGGCCGCGAAGTTGCCGGCCCCGGCCTGCAGTTTGGTAGGACTAGGACATTCCCCTCCCTGCACACCCATCGTACGCTCTGCCCCTCTGACGCTCTGCCGTTTGCCGGCGGCCGTGGATGATGGATGAGTTTTCTCTGCTGCTATTTCGGGACGCACATGTGTCCTCCGTCCTCCAGGGCAGGCCTCCACAAAGAGATCTGATCTGGCTATTGCTTTGATCTGTTGTGGACGTGGACTGTGGGATCGGTGGATCAGTGGACAGCCTACCTGCCCCATCGATCGATCGAGGGAGTGGGGGTGGGGGTGTGTGTTGGTTGCAGGTTGCAGGTTGGGGGGGATGGAAATGCGAGTTCTTGCAGCGGCAGCCGAAGTTGCACCATCGCCAAAGGAAGTTGTAGAATCAATAGGTCACACACACACACACACAAGCGCACACACACAGACATTATGGCAAGGAAAGCACGTGCTGGTGGGGTGGAGTGCCGGGGAGAGTGGTGTGGGGTGGTGTGGCATGGTGTAGCTGAAGGTGGAGTGTGCACCAGTTCTTGCACCACGTTATATGATATCACCGCAAAAAAAGAAGCCACAGTAAAAAAAAGGAGCACTTGAAAAAAAAAGGCGTATAGTTAATTGCAACAATCTATACTCCGAGTGGCAAGTGGCAAGTTGTAACTTGCCACTTCCTCTGCCATAAGATTTATATTGGACTCTGTCTCTCTCTCTCTCTCTCTCTGTCTCTCTCACTCTCTCTATCTCTCAGTATCTGTGGGTCTCCTGCTTTTTTTTTGGCTGCTCTGCTGGCGCTGGCTGGGGGGCTCTTGGTTGGATTTCGATCCCTGGCGTGTGTTCTCCCGTTTGCTGCAAACGTTTTGAAAGCTCGACGACGACTGATTCTCCGGACGAGCCAAGTGGCACCACGAAGCGATGACGACGCCAGCAACAGCAACAGCGGCAGCGCCATAGACTGCGACTGCGACAGCGGCGTCCGTCAGTCGGTAACTCCAGTTTTCAGCTGCTGCTGCTCTGCTGCTGTTATTGGAATTTCCAGCTGGGGCTGGCTGGCTGGCTGGCTGTCGCAGCGCCCACACCCCACCACCCAGCACAGCTGTGGGCCGAGAGGAAGGCTCGTCGTCGTCGTCGTTGTCTTCGTATCCTTTGCTGCAGCTGTTTGTTGTTGCTGGCCGTCTCGGGGCGGCCGAATGCTGATTCGCCGCTTCCAGCTAACGGTTATGCCATGCCGTTCGGCTCGTTCCGATTTCGCCTCGTTTTTCTTTTTGGGCAGCCGATTCGTTTCGGTACCGGTACCCGGCATGGCATTGGCACCGGCACCCGGTCTGGCGCGGCTCCGACTACGACTCCGACTACACTCCGACTCCTGCCCCCCAGACACCAGCTTTTAGGTGGAACGGATTTTCCTTGAAGACTGGCCGATTGTGCAAGGATTTGTCCTTTCTGCTTACATTTTTTTAGACTTACTTTTCACGTAGTTTGTGGCAGTTGGCGCCGGCTAAAGCAACGGAACGGCTATCTCTCACTCTGGTGCGACTGCAACCTGGCTGTCGACTGCACAAGACACTCGGGGAACAACAACTGAGACGAGACGCAGAGCCAGACTGGCCGACTGGCAGACTGTCTGGCAGCGCAGCGCAACGCAGCGCAGCGACAGTGGACAGTGTCGGGAAAGCCGACAGTGTCGGGAATGCGGCGCAGGCCTGGAACTCGCCTAATGAAATTACGCAATTTCCAGTAACCGTTTGGCGGAAACGGCACGCGAGCGAGGATCGGTCACTGGCACTGATTAGGGATTGATTCATAAATATATATATGCATGCCAGATATTGCTCGCCAAGGAGTTGAGTTCTCTGCTCCTCCAGTTCTGCCCACAAAACGATCTGTGGAATGGGACTCCCCACTCCCCACTCCCACCCCCTCCCACTGGAAGAGAACCGCTAACATCTGATTTGGTCTGCCGCAACCGCAAGAGAAAGAGCAACAGCAACAGCAACAATAACATGGGGAGCGTCGCAGAGGCAGTGGCAAACAGCTGCCATGGAGCCATGGAAATATTGATTTTACCGCTGTTTGGGTGCCGGCTATTCGGGCACGAGCGCTTCGGACTGCGGCACGACTGGGGGTGTCGCGTGCTCGGGCGCCCAACAGCAGCCACCCCCGCGCCCCACTGGCACCCACTAAAAACAGCTGACTCTTGCTGCCTGTTCGTGTGCGTGTTCGCTCGCTCGCATATGCGAGTGTGTGTGTGTGTGTGTGTGCTTGTGTAACGCTCAGCTGAGCGAACCAACCAACCGTTGGAATTTTGAAGTTGAGGCATGCCGCACATCTTGGCATCTTGGGCTCTCCTGCGGCTGCTGCTGCTGTGGGATGCAACATGCAAAGTTATACCGCCACTCGTCCGCCCCCTGCCGCATGTCATGCCCCAGCATATCTGAGCTGAGCAGTGCACAGCGGGGCAGAGAGATGGGGGCAGCCTGCCTGCCTGCCTGCTGGTCTGATCATGAAATGCAGTCAGCCATTGCCCTGACCTACGACACTTTCTCCTCCCCTCGCACTCCCCCACTCCCACTCTCCTTCTCGTTGTTTTACTCACCTTTCGGTTATGGTATATTTGTAGTATTTTAACGGGATATTCGGTATATTCACTTGGGGTTTTTTCTTTGGTGCGAGTATTATTCTGGTTTAATCTTCACATTACCTTTTTTTGGATGGAACCAGTTGCTATTTGCTATTTGCTGTCTTCTTTCTGGTTTTAAAGCTTTGATTCTCTCTCTCTCTCTCTCTGTCTTGGTTTTGGTATTTTTTCTATATTTATATCTATGCACAAAAATGGACTTGTGGACACTTTTATCTGGTATCTGGATAATTATATTATATTGTTATATTTTCAGCACTCGAAGCGGACGCGATTTTGGCATTAAACAATTGGCAAAAACTATAATTAATTTGAATATTGTTTATTTATTTATTTGTATTTTTGTTTGGTGAATATTTCTGCTGGCTCGTTTGGCAACTTTAAGTTTCAGAGTTGCCCGAAACCGAAATAAACTTTAGACGGATATTGATTTTTAACTGCTGTCACACTCTCTGCTGCTGCTGCTACTGCTGCTGCTGCTGCTGCTGCTGCGCCGCTGCTGCTGTCGCCGCCGCTGCTGCTGCTGCTGCTGTTCCTGATAATGGCGCTGTCGAGACCAGCGGGGCGGCGCCACCCCGTTGCACCTAATTGATTGATTGCCACAAGTTCGAGCTCCGGCGAATGCTCGCAACAATTCCACATTAAACAGTTTAGCAATTTTCGCTTTTCGCCTTTATTTTTTGTAGCTATGTTTAGCTATATTTTGTTTTAGCTTTTTATTTTCTAATTTTTTTGTTCGCTGGCGACTGCTGCTCTCGACTGATTCTGGACTCTGACGACTCTGGACGCTGTTTGGAGCTCTGCCTCTGCTGCTGCTGTGGCTCTGCTGGGGTTCTGCTGCTGCTGCTGCTGCTTCTGCTTCTGCTTGCTGCTGTTCGGACCAGCGAGTGCTGGCATTCCCGTTGCCGCTTCACCAACCAGCCCCCCGCCTCCCGCGCATCACTCACTTCCCGCACAACCTTTTGCACATTTTTCCAATCCAATGCAAAACACACTAACACACTTCGGCCTTCGGTCTTCAGTTTCGGCTTCGGCTTCGGCTTCGGCTTCGACTGCCGCTTCGTCTTCGGGCGCTGGCTCCTCTTCTTCGGACCAAGCTGCGTTCGTTTTTTGGCACATTGGAAGCCGTCCCTTCGGCCCCCCCTTACCCCTTCGAGCCGCTGAAACATGTGATGGAGCCGCCTACCGCGCCCCTCCCTCTGTCAACGCTTCCAGCGGCGCAGGCGCAGGTCTCGCAGCAGCACAGCCGAACAGCTGATTGCCGACGACAGCGAGAGAGACGCCAAGCCGTCAGGGGGGGGTGGCGGAAGGGGCTGCTTTGGGGGATGGGCAGCCGGTCGGGCTAGGACAGAGCGTGGAGCAGCGTTCGATGTCCGACGGCGCTAGCGCTGGCGATGCCGTCGGGAAATGCCAGAAATGGAATGCAAATGTGGCCGCCGGAAATGCCCCGGGATATCGGATAATGCAGAAAAGTTCAGAGATAGCCGGAGATAGCCTCATGGCGAGCGTAGACTTGCATGCTTACATACTATGTACATACATACATATGTACATACAAACATACATACTACAAATAGTCATATATGTACCTATTAAAGCCTTCTGGATAGCCTGTACATGGAACCTGATTTATGGGAATTTATTGTAGAAAATAAGAACAATACCCAACTGGCTGCAATGCTTACCTGAAAAGGTTTCTGAAAGGTTTCCATAAATACAAAATGTACTATGGTGTCTCCTGAAACAAATCAGTTCTGAGTTATAAAGTTCCGCTTCTTCATTGGCTACAAACATAAATTACTCTACATATTATGTTATTATATTATTACATCTTATTTGAATTGGATTATAGCTGGCAAACATCAAATCAAATTTTCAAGACGGTTTACCTTGGAAATTTTCTGCAGCAAAGACTTCGGACATTGTGTGCCCTGAGGGGCAATCATTAGCAAACACGAAAACTAGAAAACCATTCGAAATGTTAGAAATCACAGCAACTTACTCAGTCTCTTCTATATGTATGTGCACACTGAAACTGTATCTTTATATGCAGCCTAAAAGTATGCACTGAAAGGCGCATTGCTCCAGCCTCAATAGTGTTCGAAAGCCAGGTGTTCAAAGAGCCAAACGACAGGTGCCCTAGAATTTGATTTGAACATCATTTTGGCTGCAGTTAAAGTCCGTTCGAAGTGGACATGATCACACTTTATTATTCATGAAGGCATGTATTTAATGTACATACATACATATAGTGCAGGATTGTACTCCTCTACTACTCCTCTACTCTTAAAGTACCGGGGGGCATAATAAGTTTATGTATAAAGAAAACCATGAAGTAAATTTAATTACAAGAACGCTTTTCATTGCTGAGGTTAAATGATGTTTTTCTTAAGCAGGAAAACGATGAACGAAACACTACTGAAGGAAAAAATTTAATTTCATGAATTGTGCATACAGATTTAAGCTGTTAGTGGAATCGATTTGGGTTTAAAGGGAAACAACAGCCAGAGCAAGAGGGCTTTCACTTAAAATTTCGGTTATTCTGTTGCTCGTCTGGAGGCTTCCTGCAGCAGCACCCGCCACGCTGCGGAGGAGCAAAAGGAAACAGGCGAAGAAGCAGTAGAAGCAGCAGTAGAAGGAACCACAGGGGAACACAAGGCTCAGCCACGCCCAGTTTAATCCAATCAGAGGCCCAAAACTCCCATCCAATGCCAAAGTGGAAGAGAGAGCGAGAACAGGGAGAACGGAAGAAGAAAGGAGCAAAAAGAAAGACCATAGGCAACCGAAACAGAAGCAGCAACAGAAGCAACAACAACAACAACGAAGGCAAACGGCGAATCCTCGAGCCGAAATTCGAAATTTGAATTTGAATTCAGCGCTGGATTTCATTTAATTATAAGTTAACACGAAACGGCGTTGCATATACGAGGCTGGCGCCGGTTGCAAGTCGAGCCAAATGCCTATACACCCTGCCCCGCCGCCGCATCAGACCACCCTGTCCCACCCCGGGGTCTGGCGCTTATAAAAGTTTGCGACACGACACACAGGACCCCCCTAGCCCCGTACCCCCGTGCCACCGTGAGTAACCATAAGAAAGGGAGGCGGCGAGGACGATGGAGAAGTTGAAGTTGAAGTTGGAGCATGCCAAAAATATTGAAATTTAATAAATACGAGTGAAAAAAAAAAACAAACAACAAGCAAACGAGGAGTGCGGAGTGCAAAGGTGGCAGGGGGCAGGGTGCAGGTGCAGGCTTGT